GGGGCCCCGCGCGGCTGGGGGCGGCCGCAGGGCTGCGGGAGCAGCGGGAGCGCGGGCGGCAGCCCCGGGACCGGGGCCGCGCTGAGGGGGACGCCGGACTTGGCGGCGCGGGGAGCCCCGCTGAGCGCTCCGCGAGCGCCCCGCGGGATGAGGTGGGAATGCGGCTGGGCCCGGCTCCGAGCGCGCTCGCCCGGCCCCGGGATAGCGCCCGGCCGGGAGCGACCCATGGGAGCCGCGTGCGGGAATAGCTCCTGCTCAGGGCCTCTGTCACGAGAGTCACGGTGGTTTTATAAACCCCTCGTGTGTGTGTTCATGCCAGGCAGTCATCTTCAGCAGATCTAACACCCGGAGTAACCAAATGACAACATTTGTCTTTTTTAATAATAAGCTTCTTTGGAAACAGCTGTTCTTAAAGCCTCTCCCGTGAGCGAATGTTTGCTTGCAGTATCAGCGCTCCCAAAAGGACGTGGTCCCTGCCACCGGCGCAGGGAACTTCTGTGTTCCTGGAAGGTTTCCCCTTATCCCAAAGTGTATTTCTGGGAGGCTGCAGTGCAGCACCGCAGTAGGTGGAAGAATGAGGGATGCTCCTCGTGCTGCTCTGCCCTGCCGGAGGGCGAGCGCAGCGGAGAAGCAGCAGGGGCTCCCTGGCCCTGTTCCTCACCCTCAGGGCATAGTTGGTCTTAACCCGCTTGCCCAGCAAGTCTCCTTGCTGCAAAGTTGAGAACTGGGCTGGTTTGAGTGTTTTATTTGAGCATTGCGTGTTTCCTTTCCCGAGAGGTGAGGGTGGTGTTTATTTTACTTCGTAGCCCGCTGTTCTGTGGCAGGCTCACGCTGTGAGTGTGATGGTGCTGGGTGTGCCTGTCCATTCCTTCTCTACTTATAGTGAGAGCTGCATAGAAATGCCTAAAAAAAATGCCTTAAGAAAGCCTAAAATGCCTATATCCTGTGTGATCTTTGATAAAACTATCCTAGCTGTTGCTCCCCGTGAGGAGAGCAAACCCGTGTTTTCCTGGAGAGGTGGGCAGCTGAGACAGAGGGAAAAACAGTCTCACCATGAAGCCCTGGAGACCTGATGGAGACCATGCTGCTATGGTCAGCAGTAGGGCAACATTCCACACCGCTCCCTGGAACGGCCTTTGCTTTAGCCTGAGAAATCCAGGGAGGCTGGAAGCCCCAGGAGCCCGAAGCTTGGCAGTACGATATCCCAGGAATATTGTATTGCCCAGTACAATATCAGGGATATTGTACAATACTGGGGATATTGTACTACAGTGATATCCCTAGTGATACACTGAGGATCTGCGTAGTGCATCAAAGATGGCCTGTAGCGGTCAGGGGACAAAATTTGGGGATGCTGCATCCCAGGTTAGTCTCCGGGACAATTCCGTCGCTGAAACAAGCTGAATGGAAGCAAAACACCTCATGTGATGGGTCTGCCTGTCGGGGTATTAGTGTGCAGAGTGTATGAGTTTCATCTCTCTCTTCCCCCAGGTTCACCTCTCAGCACCTGCCAGGAAAGTGGGAGCTTTTGCATCTGCAGGAAGGGAGAAGCAAGCGTGAAGCATGAGGGTGAACTCTGCCATCCAGGCTGCCATCGACCTCACAGCGGGAGCCGCAGGTGACGCTGCAGAGAGCTCAGCTGCACCAAACCTCTGCAGTTTGAGGAGCATGCGAGGCAGTGAAGCATCAGCCAGTGCTGTACAGGCACCACCATGCCCCTTAGTGAGGGGGAAATGGGTGACCCTTATTGTAGACTAATAATTCCCCAGGAGTAGATTGAAGTATAAGTGTTAGGTTTTCATGCTTACATGAGCTCTGGAATATCGTGGCAAGCAGAGCTTTGCCATAAACCTGTTCAGTGAATGAGTGACTGGCACAACGTGCCTGCTGCAGAATTCCCTCTATGGGAAGCAGGCGAGAGGCTCACACAATATTCAAATGTCAATCTTCAAAAGCTGAGAAACCTAACAGCACAACTGGTGTTCATTAATTCACTTAACCAGCTTAGGCCTGCGCTGCGCAAGGAAGTCTTGTGGCAGTTGTCACAACGGGCCCAAGTGCGGGGAAAAGCTGCACATTTCCTCACATTGCAACTGTAGTAGTGCCCATGGTTGAGGCATGAATTGGCTGTTAGCCCTGCTGGAGAAAGGGATCTTCTTGATGTTGCAAGTTTCACTTTGGAGAATTCTGCTGTAGCAGCACTGAGAGCTGCTGTCAGGAGGGCAGAGGTAGCCACAAGGAGAAGTAGTTTCCCAAGGAAGTTTATGTGAAGTCCAGAAAAGAGGAAATGTTGGGCTGGAACAGCTAGTGTGATGCTTTATGCAGAAAAAAAGCTAGAAGAATTATCTAATATGCTTTTGCTATCTTTTTTTTCCTTGCTTATACAGTGGCTCTTGCAGTTGGTCTTTATTGTGACAGTGCTACTGCCATGGATACAATAGTATTAATGGTATTAAGTGCCTTCAATTTAAGGGTAATTCCACAGGTCGGTGTCAGTGACCTCAGGACAGGGTGGCAGCTCGTATAAGTACAGAGCAGCACTTCCATAAAGCCTTTGGTCTTCCACCGTGTTTTGCCCAGTGAATACCTGCTTTGTTTTCACTGACTCGATAACACCCTATTCCCCTGCAAGGAAAGAGAAATGTTTCTGCTATTATGCTTCCATGACCTTAGAATCCAACTCTTAGTCTGTTCTTCTCTCTTTGCCCTTTAGGTAAAGAATAGCTGAAGCATCTGCTCTGCTTTCAAAGCAGCAGCTTAATATCAGTGCAGCTCTTGGCTATTATGCTGCTTTCTCCCCTGGTGTAGCCCTTTCTTCAGGTGGCCTGAAGGAATTTGGATCCTTTTCAGTACAACTTCAGCATTCCTAAGTCCTTGTTCTTGCTCCTTGCCTTGCTACCCCTGTTGTAAGGGGGGTAAGACAAGGCTTTGCTGTTGCTTTTTTATTTTTTTATTTTTTTATTTTTTTATTTTTTTATTTTTTTATTTTTTTATTTTTTTATTTTTTTATTTTTTTATTTTTTTATTTTTTTA